GAACATAAGAAATTCTCCTTTTAATGCTTTTGCCCAGCTCCTCTGCTTCTTCTGCAGACACCTGTTTCATTTTACTCTGTTCACCCCACTTTTGATTAGATTTAGTTGGACGTCTCAAAGCCAAGGGTGCTGAGGCACCCTGCCAACCTCTCTCCAGGTAAAGATGAATGCACACACACACAGCAGTGAACAGGATGCCCAAACGCAGCAGCAGTCCCAGAGTGAGTCGCTCTCTGCCCATATCCATCCACTGTTTTGTCCTCCCTGTCTCTCTGACTCACCCAAATCCAGTGTCTCAACTCAAGGTGTCAGTTTGATTGCTTTTTCTATCCCATTTTGGAAGTTCTCTTCTCTTCCCCTTTGTCTCAAGGTTAAAATCCACCTTTACACCAACAGCGGTAAGTTAATGAAATGCAAACATTTCCACCGTTGCTCATAAACCAGCACACACGCACACATATTTGTGCTTCCTGCAAGGCTGTGAGGCTGTGTAAGTGCTGAGGTTTTGGAAGCTGAGAGTGAAGTGCAGAATATGCCACCCTCTTTGAAAACTTTGGAAACTCCCTCCTCACACTTGTAAGTCTCTTTCTTTCTCTCTTTTTTTTTAACCCAAACACACGCCCCTTTAATTTGCTTTCTTTTTCTTTCTGAGGTTCACATCACACTCACACACACAGACACACACACCACTCTGTTGTTCTTCCCCCTCCTTGGTGCTGCTTCATCCCGCCCAGCAGAATCTCATGTTACGGTGTAGCTCCAGTTATGGGCTGTGTCTCCAGCTCCATAACGGGTCCATGCAAGATTTCCTCTCAGCATCTGTTGGGCTCTCTCTGGAAACAGCAGCGACATTCATACACGAATGAAAGTTTAAGTATTTGTGAAAAGTCATTTGAGGTGCTCCAATGCAAACATTTTGTTAGAGTGATAAGTTTCTAAGAACTTTTTGTTTTTACTCATTTATTTGAAGTCATTACTCTTGAATTTTGTCTGTGTGCACATGTTCTAAAAAAAAATACTATATCAATTCCTATATTTTTCTCTGTTATTGTACAAATTTAAGAAAATGTGTGGGTTTTTTCACATAAATTCCATACTTCTCTCGATTCCTGATTTAATGAGGGCATATTTGATATTTTGGACAAGAAGAGAACATTCATCTGGTGTTTTCAAGCTTCCTTTTTTTGTCTTTTTTAGGGGTGGGGGAGGATTAGACCTTACAACAAAACTTGAGAATTAGAATTTGCTTGACGTGGCACTGCTAAATGTAAGAAGAGGCAGATAATAAGAGAGCTGATCTCCCACCTACTGTTTGGAATCAGTTACAGCCTTTTTGAGCCTACAAATAATTCTCTGCTGCCCCCCTTTGAAGTACAAACAACACTCCTCTAAATACCAGCTTCGGCACACAAGCCAATTACAGTGAATCAAATAAATTAGATCGGGAGAACCAGAGAGAATAAAGGATGTCGGGTACAGTAAGACGATCTCTGCTGCCACCTAGTGGTTAATTCTAAACAGCTGCATATGGAACTGATTACTGTTTCTTCTGTGTGATTACACATAAAAGCGTCCAGCTTTTACCTCAAAAGAAGTTGGAAAAACTCTAAATTTTAGACGTGTGTTTTGTATCAAACATGTAGCAAAACAATGTTTCTTTTGTGAGATGCAGGAGACTTCTCTCTCTCTCTCTCGCTCTCTCTCTGGAGACAGCATTATTCATATTGGAATGATTTGTCCAGATCTGGTCAAAATCAGCTGCCACGTGCAATGCGTTTGTTTCTGGCTGCCCCCCCCCCCTTTTTTTTTTCATATCCTCCAACAAAACAGGGTCCAGAGAGACAGAGAGAGGCCGTTTAAGCTCTATCTACTCACATATACTTTAAAAGCAGTGTCTCAATATGGGGCCTGATATCACAGACCGATAGACCACCTGCTAATGAAGCAAAGGCAAAAATGCCTGCTGGATAAATTTGATAGCGGCAAGGCTTATAACCACACAGTAAGCTCTAAGAGGGCGAGAGTAAACCCAAAAGGGCTCATTTTGCTAATTATAGGTTACAAAAAAAATATCTAGAAATGAAAATCTCTTTTCATGGTTAGATAAGATAAACTGTCGAAGTTGCTTGCAAGTGGAATTTACTCCATGGTATTTTGTAAACAGCAGCTGGTCTGATATCTGCAGTGCAAATACAGGTTTCCTAACACAAAAAGCAGGAAAACTGGAACAAGCTGGACTAATACAGGTCAATCTGCACCATAAGATCAATGTGCTTCTTGTATTTTGGGAAACACACCGATGTCTGGATGAACTGCTGAAGTTTTGCACAGTGGGAAGTGGCCAGTTGTATCAGGAAGAGGTGAAGGTTACCGTGTGTTTACTTTCAACTGGGGTCCAAAATGACACACACACACACACACACACACACACACACACACACACACACACACACACACACACACACACACACATAAGAATAACTTGATTGTTTTATAAGATTCAGGTCCTCAAAACACTGTAAGCACTGTAAATACATAATAAATAGCTGGCAAGGGTCTCAGCTCACTACTCTTGAGCCTTGTGAGATAATTGTGTAAATGGTCTAAGTTGCCTTGAAAAATGACACACCCCTATGTTACGTTTTTTCAACTCACGTGACTGCAGAATAAACGTATTGTTATAATAATATTGTTATAATAAGCTTGTAGTTAATGACCTTAAGTAATAATTCAACAGTTGGGATTTTTGTGTACATTTGTGTAGTCTCATCTAATATGTACACATTGCACAATCAAGATTAACTGGATCATCAAATAAAAAAAAAAATTAAAAAAATAAAATAAAATAAAAAATAATAATAAAATAATAATAATGATCTTAACGTATATTTTTAGCTTTTTATTTACAACAACGGTAACATGCTCACATACTGGTTTAATAATAAGCATTAAAAGGGTCAATATGTTACAAGGTTACACATCTGAGGCAATAAAATAAACCTGTTTGACCTTTTTTCCACACCTCAATAAATGATTGCACAGCAACCAGTGGCAAAGATAAGCACCTTCTACCCCGAGAGACCGCATGATATACATATGCATACATACAGAAAAAGCTGTGAAAGTTAGCAACACTTCAAAAACTGGGATAAACGATCAAACCTATTAACTGGACTGACATAGATGTAAGAATATAAGATATAGTTGCTTATATTCCACACCATATTAACGCCATACAGCCTCACTTAGATGTGGAAGACGATTTATAGCTGACCATCTGTTTGTGTCATAAAATCTTACCCTTTTACATAAAACAAACACATTTGTGAAATGCAATTGACACAAATGCAACATGCAGTCTTGCTAGTAATGTGTCAATTACTTTTTAATGTCTAAATGTTAAACCTGATGACTTTCAAAGCAGACCTGCAGTTAATTTCACGGTAACACGCTGTTTAACAAATTGCCACAGTCAGCACGTACAACCTATTTCAATGATCCTTCTCCCGTTTTATTTCCCAGATGAGAAGGTGGAGTGAAAGCAAGTCAGTGTGATGGCAAAAGCAAACGCTGTTTAGTTTATAGTTTGTATTCGTATTCCTGCTGAATCCAGCCAAGACAAGATGCAGTGAGTCAATACAAACACAACGGCTGAACGTATCAATCATTAATCAAAGGATTCGTTAGGAGCACTTGGAGAAGCAGAGACACAGAACGGGCTTTGAAGTTCTAAATGTGGGTCTTGCACAGACGTGAATAACCTGTGATCTCACCCCACAAAAATGTGGTGAAGAAGATTAAATGCATTCATTAAATGTTTTTTTAGTCGCTCAAACTAAAATCAAATAAAATGCACACTTTCACAGAAGTAAGGACTTGGTCTGTAATCCATTGCTGCGTATACAAACACTACCCAGGCCAGCTATGTGTTTATGGTTACAGCTGTTTTGCTTGTTTTAATTCGAAGCAAACTATACATTTTGGAAGTTTGGATAGTTTATTAGAGCCATGTGAGGATGCTACTTTGGAGTCTGGGCATTTCTAGTTATTTCTTACTTCTTAAAATGTTAAATGCTTACTTAAATAAGCAATTAAAATAGCCATTGTTGCTGTTGCCACAATTTTGAGTGAGCTAGCCAAATAGAAAGAGGGAATGATTGCTGGTGCAGAGACAGGACCTTGAGATTATTATGAACCCAGCAGCTCATTACTGCTTTGCTTAAACTGTAAACACCAGGCACATTTAGAGTAACTAGTTGTTTCAGTGGCCGCTTGTTTATGTTGACCCTGATAGGGGTTAAACTTTACACGTGGACGTTATGCAAGGATAACCAGTTAACAACAGAATAAACAGATCTAATACTTCTACACATCACATCACACTGCATCACAAGATCTTCAGTTTGCAGATAGGTATAGTCACAGGTGTATCAAAGCAAACAACTCTCATCACTACTTCACTTTGTATCAAAATGTGAAAAAAAAAAGCCCTTGGATACATCATAGGTGCCATTTCCACAACAAAAAGTTCAAATTAGACTGATAAAACTAATGTAATCAAAGAGGTGATGTCATCAAACAAATGTTAAGTCATCATACAGACCTTTAAGTTTCCAAAACGTCATCATCATCACCAGTGATTTTCCCAGCTCATTTGGGGGTTTTAAGTGAATCTGAAGTTGGAAAGACACCAGTCTATTTATTAAAACCACCCAGTCACGTGTTACCAATTATGAAGACGCAATTCTGGAAAAGTGTTGTGCTGACTTTTTCATTTTAGTATCGCTGAGGTGCTGCACTCTGTAGAGAGCATGTGTCCAGATTTGAGGGCGGCTCGCTTATTTTAAAAATAAAAATTAAAAAGATTTGGGGCAGTTGTCTATTTCATTATATCTGGGAAGCGAAGAGAGGGCGTTTTTTTTAACACCAGCGTCTCGCTTATAAGGTAGTTGCCCCAGGAGCTCGAGTCTGTCAATAGCCGTGTGTATGTGTCTGCCCCTCCCACCCTGCTTTCGTGAAGGCCTCTGTTCATTATTTGGTGCTGATCCGCTCAGGAGCTGCTGCCCGCCAGGGAGAGACGCACCGGGAGCCGCCGCACACAAACGCGCCGTCAGAAAATGTCTGTGGAGAAAGTATTCGACGAGCTCGGACATTTCAAAAGGTACCGTGAGGATTGGCATGTTTTCTCTATAGTCAGTTGTAACTTTACATTTTCTTTATTCTTTATTCGAGTGGGGGGAATTTTGTGGTAGGAGGCACCAACTTTAGAACCGTAAATATTACACATCCCACTTCACATTGCTATTTTGAAAACAAACACTATTGAAAGTGGGAGATGACGTAATTTGTTTTACAGCAATGATACGGTATTTTTTTTTATCTATACAGATATATCCATGTTTCAAAAAGGGGGTGGACATTCGCTTAGAGAAACTTTTGTCACCTCTTTGTAATTTTGAAAAATAACTAATTACAGTTAGAAATGGGCCTGTGTATCTTTAGGAGACACATGGTTAATGTATTTAAACTATAAAGTTTATATATTCGTTTTTAGTAGGCTTTTTCAAAATGACTTAATAAACACACCTAGAATTATTTCTTTCTGTGCGGGTTGGTTTTACCTGACTACCTCTCCATCAGTCAAGTTGTTTTCCCACTTTTTAACCTAAAAACGTTTAGGGTTTTATTAAAAAGCTGGTAAAAAAGTTTTACCTTTCCACACAGGTTGGGTACACTGCTAAAATCGCGAGTCACCATTAATTTCTTTATATTTTGAAGATGGAGGAGCAAGGGTTGGATTGAAAATCAGTAAAAAAAAAAAAAAGGCAGCCAGTGTCCAAAGAAGAACATGGATAGATTTTCAGAAAGCCCAGACAACTATTGCACGAAGTCACTTTAAAAATGACAAGAAAGTCTGACTCCTTGGAAGAAGACCGAGGCATGAGGGGTGTCTCAAGATGCTGTCTATGATATGTCCAGTGTTGGAAAGGTTACTTTTAAAATGTATTCCATTACAGATTACAGAATACATGCCCCAAAATGTATTCTGTAACGTATTCCGTTACGTTACTCAATGAGAGTAACGTATTCTGAATACTTTGGATTACTTAATATATTATCATGCTGGTTCATCAAGCGAGGGAGGGAGAAAAAGGAAAAGTACGAGCTGTCATCGAGCAAAAACAGGAGCTGAAGCATGTAAATATAATAATAACCACTGCAGCCAAGAAGAGTGCCTGAAGAGCCCAGTTGTAAGTAAGCTATTAAGACTTGACTGCACACCGTGTTCCTCTGAAAACAATAAGTTCCGTTGGAGCAGCCTTTCAACGCCTCTCTCTGTCTCTCGCAAGCAAAGTTGACCCACACAACAAAGTAAAGCTATTTTTCGGCTAAGAGCCCGACACAGAACCCACCATATTAGCCAGAGGTCCCTTTACTATGGTTCGGAGCCGCAGACCTTCAGTAACAGTAATAAATCACACAGCAATAGTACATTCACGTAGTTGTAAACAGCATGATAATATATTAAGTAATCCAAAGTATTCAGAATACGTTACTCTCATTGAGTAATGTAACGGAATACGAATACATTTTGGGGCATGTATTCTGTAATCTGTAATATGTCTGTGAAGGTTCTCAGTCATCCAGGTCATCGTAGTCAAAGGAGCTTGCAAAGAAAAGTGTCTGGACTTCTTTAAGTTGCTTGAAGACGTTTCACCTCTCATCCGAGAAGCTTCTTCAGTTCTCCCTCTGTGGGGGGTCACTCCCACTAGGTTTATATCTGGGACTCTCCACCATTTGACCTTAGAACTAAAGAAGCTTCTCAGATGAGAGGTGAAACGTCTTCAAGCAACTTAAAGAAGTCCAGACGCTTTTCTTTGCAAGCTCCTTTGACTGTAATCTGTAATGGAATACATTTTAAAAGTAACCTTCCCAACACTGAGCACGGACTACACTGCCTATGATGCTACATTCTTTAGAGCTATACCTGTAGCATTCTGCCTATTAGCTTAGCACAACAACAACAAAAAGTGCTCTCTCACCCAGGAAACACGCAGAGAGAGAGCGTCACCCTGTAACCATGGCAACCGTAACGCCTGGAACAACAGAACATAGCTGTCAAACAAAACCCAAACAGTCCTGACCCGCGACAATATGAATTTCATATTATGAAACAGGAAAGTACCGCCGTGTAATCCACTTATTTCAACAAAGTAACTGTATTCTGAATACCACCTTTTTAAACGGTAACTGTAACGGAATACATGTACTCATATTTTGTATTTTAAATACGTAACGGCGGTACATGTATTCCGTTACTCCCCAACACTGGATATAGACTTGTTTTCTGAATAAATTACTACATTCAAAGCAATTGTCTTGAAACGATAATGCTGTTGGATACCTGGAAATGTCTTTTAGATTCCATTAAAAGTTGAACTATTAAGGTTGCCTTTGTAGAAGTTTTTTGTTTTTGTGGTGATACTGTAAAATCACCACAATAATTTTCCTGTATTCTCCTTCTGTCCAGATTTCAGGCATGTCTGTACTTTGCAGCAGTCTTCCAGGCCATAGCTTGTGGAATCCACTACCTGGCCTCAGTTTTTCTGGTGGAAACTCCAATTTTTGTGTCTAGCGTGCCCGGCAACATCACCGACGTTCTGTATGGTAACGTGACGGCAAGCAGCCTGGAAGAAATCTTACCAGTCTTCAAATCAGGTAGTGGACCACTGGTGGTGAAGACAGCAGAAGGAGAACAGTGGGAGCTAAGCCGGTGCCGCTGCACCCTTCGCATCAACCCAACACACTTTTCGTATGACTTCGATGGCAACAAAACAGTGAAAGAATGTACAGGGAACTTTGTTTATGACCACACTGAAGTTTACCAAAGCATTGTGACCGACTGGGACTTGGTATGTGATAAAGAGTGGCTGGCCAAGCTGTGCCAGCCCACATTCATGCTCGGGGTGCTGATTGGAGCGCTGGTGTTTGGGGACGTTGCTGACAGGTAAGCAGGGGCTGCTGTAAGATGAGGTCAAGGTTATTTTCAGGCAACATGTAGAGTCAAAGACAGGGGTTAAATGTTACCATGTGACACTTTTTGAGTTAAGTTTTAAACAGGAAGGGCTGTCCTGGCATAGACTATATGTTTAAAAAAAAAAAAGGAACTTGCCAAAGTAGTTGTAATTCATGTAGTTGTAATTTCAGGATGTATGGCTTCACATTAGGTCAAGAAGGTAGTGGAAAGAAATTATTATAGTGAAAATGAGGCAGGACAAGTGAAAGCATAGTTGATGTAGATTGGGGGAAAAAGAAGTGGAAGGTAATGACTGGAGCAGAATGCAAAGCCAGATTTGAGTGGTTAGCATTTACATGTGCAGGGGTGGCTGTAGCTCAGGAGGTAGCGCAGGTCACCTACTAATCGAAAGATTGGTGGTACGATCCATGGTTGCTCCAGTCTGTTTGCCAAATATCCTCTGGCAAGAAACTAAACCCCAGTTGCTCTCCGAATGCGAATTCGTTTGATTGTTAGATAGAAAGCACTTGAGCAAAAAAGTGAAAAAAATGCTTGCATGAATGGGTGAATGAGGCTTGTTATATAAAGAGCTTCGGGAGAGTAGAAAAGCACTATATAAGAATCAGGCCATTTACCATTTACAGCAGTAAATTTTAGCAGAAAGCAGTCAGTCTTCTCCGTAACTTCATGCACAAGTATCATATTCCTGTCAAGCACTCCTGTCGAAATGATTTAAAACCACGTGCGACTGTGACAACTTTATAAGCCCCTTTTAATCGATTCCTTAACTGAATATACAAGCTCTTTTCTCTTCCTTTATTGGTCTGCTTGTCTCTGTAATTCTTTTTCACATAGTTTTCTTTCTCTCCACCAGAGTTGGGCGTGTGAAGATTCTGATGCTCACCAGCGTTTGTCAGTTTGGGTTCGGAGTAGCTGTAGCATTCTCCGGAAACTACTATTTCTTTGTGGTGCTCCGCTTTCTCCTTGCTATGGTGGGTACGGTTGTGAATGGTTACGTACCTGTGCGTGCGTGTGTTTTATAAAAAGCCAACATGGGACAAGAGAAGTGGCATATTTGCAATGTTCTTCTTGCAAACAGCCACCAGTGGATGTTTCTCAGCTAAACAACCTCTTGTCCAGTCCCTAATGTTCTCAGGTAATATACTTGAATACACCCCCTGTAGGCATATTGCAGCTAAGCCAACATGCAAACCAAAAATACTCCTTAAATATGTAATTTAAGGAAATGTGACACAAACAGTGACAAACAGGTTTAGTTTCTGTCTTTATATTTAAACATGGGTTTGTTTGCTTTAGATGCAGATTATTTCATATCTGCTTAAACTAACACCCCTAAGGAAGGCGGTCTGTATGGTTACAAGTCCACATGTCAGTACATTAGCAGTGGTAGGGCAGTTACAGCTGTTGTTTTTCACATAGAGTCAGGCCCTTGTACACTGATACTGCACAGCTACACTATGAAACCACACGGCAAACCTACAAAGACATATCCCCAAATCATTACTATGAACTATAAATTTGTTGTATGCTGGTACTGTGTACAACAAGAGCATGCAGTCAGTTTCTCTTTGTTCATAAGTTCATAAGGTTGAACACAAAGGATATACTTCAGGTTTACTAGCATGATCATAACCTTATATTTAAAGTCTGAGGAACATAAGTTTTAAAAGACTAATACAGATATTTGCTGATTTAAAAATCTGATATTCCAATATATCGACCGATATTTTCCAAAACAGATTTCCCTAACATTTGTTATGTGTAGTTATTTGCTTATTTGTTTATACTCTGTCCGACTCTGTTGGGATTAGCTGGTTGTTGGGCGTTTCAAACACGGTTGCCAGCAGGGAAGCTGCAGAGTGCCATCTTGTGGACAAATTATGGTACTGTGCAAAAGTCTCAAGCCACCTCTCACTCAGCATTTGCAGCTGTTTATTGAAACATGAGCTAACATACAAGGAAATACAATAAATAGGACAGATTCTGCAAAGGTCTAACAAGTTTTTAGGGAATATTTGGTATGACCACCTTTATTCTTTGACAGACCCTGAACTCTCACTTTTTAGTAATTTCTTTAAGTTGTCTACAGGAATAGTTCTCCATGCAGCGTGAAGGACATTCAAAGCTCTTCTATGTATGTTGGCTGTCTTATGTTCTGTTCTCTATCAAGATGATCCCATAGCACTCTGGGGAAGCCAATCCACGACTAATAGTGTTCCACTGTGATTTTTTTTTCTGTCCAGGTGTAAATGGGTTTAGGATTATTGCCAATATGAAAAATGAAGTGCAATTACATTATTTCCTAACGGTATTGCATGGTGGATCAAAATCTGATGGTGTTCAAATATCCATCAATTTTGACAAGATCCCCAACATCACTGGTTGAAACGCCACCCCAAACCACGACACTGTGTTTTAAAGATGGCTGCAGACAGTCGCTATTGTACCACTGAACTGACATCCTCTGTAAATAATGATGATGACTTAAACCAAAAAATTTAAATTTCGATTCATTACTCCATAAGATCTGTTCCCACTCAAATTCAGTTCAAGTCTTCTATAATTTGGCATACCTCTGCCTTTTCTCCCATTTCCCTTTCATAAGAATGCCTTCTTGACAGCCACCTTTCCACTCAGACCGTTTCTGGTGAGGCTGTAACCAACAGTAAATGGATCAACTGATTGACCAGATCTATCTTTCAGATCTTTGCTGTCTTTTCCCCCCAGTTTATCCCTGAATGATTCATAGGTCAGTGTTAAGTGGCTTAACAAACAAAGAAACAAAAACCACAAACCTCCCAAAGACAAATTAAACAAAAGCAAAAAATTTCAGCCACCAGGTCAGGTAAAAAGTCTGGACTGAAAATGAGTGAAAAAGCAGCCAATGTCCAAAGAAAAACTTCAGAAGGCCTGTTTCTCAAGTGCACTTTAAAAATCTTAAGAAAGTCTAGCTCCTTGGAAACCAAATATTAAGAAATGATGGATGACTCAAGACTTTTGCACAGTACTATATACAACATCAACATCTGTAACATGTTAGAGGGGAATTTTGTCCATCTCTTATTTTATTTTTTTACATTTTCATTTCTTGGCCACTTTATCTGTTTTCTGTGGAAAACTGCTATTAAACTGCTATTAAAATGACTAGTTCCTATTTCTCATCTTTGCTTTTGACAGGTGTCTAGTGGCTATCTGGTGGTGGTCTTTGTCTATGTAACAGAGTTCACTGGCAACAAGGTACGCACATGGACATCGATGCATGTGCATGCAGCCTTTGCTGTTGGCGTCATGATGGTGGCTCTGACTGGTTACCTGGTGCGGGTGTGGTGGATCTACCAGATAGTCCTCTCCGTATGCACCGCACCTTTCTTGCTCTTTTGCTGGAAGTTTCCCGAGACTCCCTTTTACTTGATGGCCAAGGGCCGCTATGAGGAAACTGAGAAACTGCTGAATGTGATTGCCCGCGTCAACGGCCTTGAATGCAGGCTGAAAGCTGAGGATCTCCTGGAGCCAGGGAAGAGAGAAGATGGCAAAAGTCTGCTGAAGGGAGACACAGACGAGCAGTCATCCAAGCCTGAGAAGAAGCTGACCATCGTGGACCTGTTTGGCAGCTGGAGGATGGCCGGTCGTACATGCACAGTGTGGGCCATCTGGTTCATCGGCAGTCTGGGCTACTACGTCTTCTCTCTGGGCTCAGTAAATCTGGGAGGAAACCAGTATGTTAACCTCTTCCTTGCTGGTAAGTGATTGTCACATGAGTGTGAATTTGGTACTGAGATTGCAAAACTATAAACATGTATTTAATATTGTGATCATATTGGCACTTTTTTTTTTTTTACCTTTGGTGTCAGATGTAGAATAGTGTCTCTGCTTCTTACTCTACTTCAGAGTGTTTCCAGTGAGTCTGGAGATGATTTAGTTCACCTGTTTAATCTAAAAACAACTCTTGCTACATCTAAGTTGAGCAGAACCTTATGTGGAAATTTCAAACACAGTAAAAATGATATGTTCCTCTACTTTGCTTTGTTTAGTGCTCTGTATATGTAACCGAGAGTGAAATCAGACTGCGAGGACTCAACAAAAATAGCAGCGCTCCATCTTTAAGCTAAATGGCTTCCTCGTGGTTTTCTGTCTGATTGAGAAAATAGGATTTACAGTCTAACAAACATCTTTTAGTTGAACTGATATAGTGTTCATGTAATGCTATTTGAAAACACGGGATTTTATTTAACCTTTGACTCAGGACAGAGGAGGTGGAGCCTGGACAAAACAAAAGGTTAATAGGGAGAAGAGACATCCTCCTGGGGGATGTAACAGTACGATCACTTAATTATAAAATAAGTTTGCAGAATTTATTACTAGCTGTGACTTAGGTAGGTAGGTAGATTATTAATCCCACAAGGGAAATTGTTGACATTAGATAAGAGTAAAGATTGTGGCAGATAACCAAATGTGTAACCAAGTCGACCAAGAAAAAGTCCACTTACCTCCATCTTTACCTAGAGGTCGAGTAGAAGAATATTTCTGCCACCTCTCCCTTAAAACTGTCATGAGTCTAGAAGCATGATTGGATAATGATGTTGTTTGGCTTGTTTTTGGGTTTTTTATTGGGGTTTTTTTGCATTTCACAACTCTCCAGTAGATTTCCATTCAGGACAGTAAACTTGAAGGTTTTTTTCAGATTTGACTGTTGATTCTTAACATGCAGATTGGATGTCTAGGTCATCACTGAAATTGAGGTTAACATCAAAATGACTGCTGAAATGTGTTTCAGGATGACTGCTTAGAAATATAATTGTAAATTATGTTAATTCAAGTCACAAAGTAATTGTTTTAATTGAATTGTCTTGTATCTTCACGCTCAACGGAAAGTGTATTTTTAATCTTGATCATTTAATTGCCAGAGGAATATTTAGTGAGTGATCCCCATTTACTTCCATTAGAGGCACAGTGAAGAGCATATCTGGGAGGCAGCTTTTCAGATGGTTATTTAGGTCCTCCAGATAGAATGTCACTGTCAGTGCCAGTGATAACCCCTGACAGAGAGCGGCTGTGGTTGGTTGTTTCCAGGTGCAGTGGAGCTCCCCTCTTATCTGGTTGGCTGTTTTGCAATGGATCGGATTGGAAGGAAGAAGACGTGTGCCCCATCTCTGCTCCTGGCTGCGGTCGCCTGTTTTCTCGTTATTGTGGTACCTGCTGTACGTACAGAGATGCACCCTACCCCCACCCCCACCCCCCACCACCAAAAAAAAGTTCAGCTGTTCACAGAAATCTGCAGTCATCTTTAGGTGCAAGTGTCAGAGTTCAACAGTACCAGCCCAGTGACAAGGCGATAAATCAGACAGTCCAAACTGTACAAGTACATGTACTTTAAGAAACTCTCTCTAACATGTGTTAAGTTCTGAGGCAACTTTGCAATCCTAAGCTATACCGCCATGTCTTTTTTGGAGGGAAGAGGCTTCGTCTTGGTAACTCTTACAAATGAGCCATGCTTGTAATCCTGCATCCTAACTGCATGTGGAGCTTTACACATGTGACAGTGATGCTACTGCTTACAAGATAGAATAAATATAGCATAGAGTTACTTAAAGTACTTGTACTCTAATGAACTCGACTGTTATTGCGATGTATTTTGTGATCACTGACCAGTACTAATGAGATCCGACACTTGAAGCTCCCAACATGTGTTCTGAGCTCTGACCCAAATTAGCACTGTTCATGGATGAGCTGGCAAACAGCTGGTACTTCATTTTTAAATAAATATGACCTTTGATCTTAGGAGCCACGCAAACAGTGAAAGATGGAAAAAAAATAGCAGCATGGAGACAGGGGACACGTCTAAAGTTCTGTGTCGCAACCCTGCTGACACGGCAGTAGCGACCCTTTTACTCACACCTGTTCATTCCAGCTGTCATGAATCCAGTTGCAGTCTCATTAAGTTCCAGTTTGTTTCCAGCACTTCTTAATAGAAACCACACGATAGCTTGGCTGTATACAGTTTATACACTGCTTTGTAGTCAATGGGAATTAATAATCAAATACATTTCATTTTACATTCAAGCTTATTCTTCACTTAGTTACCATATATTAACATGTATGTTTTTATGGATGTTTTAAGTCAAGGGCATGTTTGACACACAATCAGAACTTGTCAGAGAGTATAATAATGAATTAAATTATAGTGACTGACAGAGCAACACTTATTAAGTTCGTTAAGTCTCTGATGAGCAAGGGCAATCAGGTGTACAAGTACTTAAGTACAAGTACTTACTTGTGCTTTCTTGAGTTTTTAAAAGTAGTATATGCACCTGGAATTTAGTTTTGTTATTTGGTGCTACGTGATTAAAGCTAAATTGAATTGAAATCTTTGTCTTTCTCTTTGTTTTTCTTTCTCTCTTCATTTCTACAGGACATAGAGATCCTAACTATTGTTCTGAGTATGATAGGAAAGTTTGCTATTGCAATTGCCTTTGGTCTCATCTACCTCTACACCTGCGAGCTTTACCCGACTATCATCAGGTAAGCACGCTAAAGAGTTTTGTTTTTGTTTTAAGGGTTTGCTAAAACTGCTAAAACTATTATTTTTTTCATATTGCAAAAACTAAAGAACTCTTTATACGTGAAACAGAAAATTCATGCATTCATATACAACCATAATTTCAGGTTAAAGTTGATTTGATTTGGAAATCATTGCATTCTGTTCTTGAGCGCTTTACTGGAATAGGGGTTTGTACTTTGCTGCTATATTAAGGGCAAAGTTTCATGTTTGAATCTTCCACTTTAGAACTAGCTAGACCTGTGAACTAAATTTAAAAACTGAAATCAATGTAATATTCCGACTTTTAATTAATTCTAACAGAGGGAGTAATGCTGCTCTTCCTCCAGGTCTTTGGCAGTAGGTAGTGGCAGTATGATGTGCCGTGTCGGCAGTGTGGTGGCCCCTTTCTGTGTCTACCTGGCTGACATCTGGATCTACCTACCTCAGGTATAGAAATGCATTTAATGTTTTAGCTGTCAACTTCCATTTGTTCTCATTTATCATAGTTTATTTCTAAGTTTACCCTGGCAGCACTGCTAAATTAAAAAATTTCCCCCCTTTTTCTCAATCACAACCTGTGTTTAGCTTATTGTAGGAATCCTGGCATTAATTTTTGGAGTACTCGCACTGTTTCTGCCTGAGACCCTTGGCAAACCTCTGACAACCACCTTGGAAGAGGCTGAATCTCTGGGACGTAAGCCCAGCAAGATGAACGACAGACTGGAGCTGAACCAGCATGGAGCAAAAGCTTGAGCCGTACACTTCAGGGAACACAGAGATCTACACACAAGGAGACAAGCTGTGGAAGAGAGACGAGGTAACAACAGTTAAATACCTGGAAACAAAAACGACAGATTAATAGGATGGTTGGAAAAAAGTGAAAAACAAGAAAAGATACGTTTTTATGATAACTTGTGAAGTGACTTTTTTGTTGACATTTTGTTCTGTAAAGTGACCAACAGCTTGATATTTTAGGAGGCCTGAGAACTTCCTCACAATCTTCTGCTCTATCATGTAAACACCACAACACAATGAAAATCATGTGCCATGTGTGGTAATTTGTGAAAGCATACTTTGAGTCTTTTTTGTAGTTTCGATCATAATTTCTATTACTGATTTTAACTTTGTACTTAAAATTTTTTTCAAAATTTCTTGGAACACAGCTACAAATAAGACAGACATGACAGACAATAGAAAGACTTTATTTATTTTTAAATCAAATGAAGTTTTTGTAGTTATAGGCAGAACAAAAGCAGATTTTTATGTTAGGTCGTCAGGTGTTTCTTGCCCTGTTGGGCTTCTTTCAAGCAGTGTTTCAGCGGGTATCCTCCTGCTCTTACCACAGTGTTTATATTACCGACAAGAAGTGATGACCAAAACTATTAAAATCAGACTCCAGCTGTACTGAACCAAGTCATCCTTTAAAACAAAGTTATCAAAGCTAAACTGCTGCACATTTTTTGGCATCTCCGACCATCTGACCAGATCATGGCAGTGCCTTGGTTATTTTATACCATAATAAATCGTATGTCGTGTATCTAGAATGTATTATTCTAATATTAAATAAGTGCCTTCAACTTGCCTTTTAAGGCTTTCTTTTAATCTCAGGACATCAGTTTTGCTGTGAATCTATCACTGGATTTATCCTCAACTGCCTCTTGTTAAAGATCAAATATTTAAAGGTAACAAAAGAGCAAAGTTTTGCACACCATTGTTAGACCTTTATTAGTTCTTCTTCTTCCTATTATTGTGACCTTTATTAAAGGTTAATGAATTTTCTAATTACCCATAAACATTACGGCGATCACAATAACAGTGTGCAGGAGTTTTTTAATTGCTCATCTTGTCTAAGATGCCATTGCTGAGCTTTACTATGCCTTTGTTATCCAATCTGTGTGCATGTGTGGGTATAACTGAGTAGAACAGTCAAGTTAAGATTTTTTTTATATGCGCTTATATGCAATCAGACGCTAGGCAGATTAAGAAAAGAAGCATAATAGTACCTTATAGAGTCTTCAAGAGTCAAATATGATCTCCAGATGTTTGGACCAAATACAGGGATGGACCACAACACTGTGGAGATGTACTGTATATACCTGATTTACAATATTATGTTACAGTTATGGTGCATTAATCCAAAGGAGAAAAAGAACAGCGGCTGGTGTTCTAAAACTGGTGACTGGTCTGCAATCAACAGTATGGACTTTTCCATTAATAGCATCCTCGTCTTATTTTGATTTACAATAAATATGCAGAGGATTGACACTGGGGTTTATGGCTTTTTCATTCTGTTCATATGAACTGGCTTTAGTTAGCACAGTTTTACAGTGATACAGAAAGAGACTTTATAAACCTCGGTAAAGGAGCAAGTGAATTCCTTCCATTTGTCAATAAGGAAAGTTTGAACTTGGTGCTGGAAATGCAAAAATAATACAGCAGGTCTGAGGATACGGTGCCTATATACATTAACAGCTTTGTGTTTGATGGTGAAGGGGAAGTCCCACAGCCACAGTGACATTCCCATCGCCATTACCGAATACATAAAGGTCCTCTGTGTTCAACTTTTCAGGAGAAAACTACCAGTTTTTATGTGTGTGTGCTTATGTGTATGGAAAAGTACTAAACATGAGTTCTTCTAACGTGAACTTCCAGTTCTGGCGTGATACTGGTGCCTCAAATAGAGTGGGGGCTATTACTGGGCTAAATGGAGCGAGTAAGGATGTAAGGATGTTGTTATCAATCTGCTTCATGTAAGTGATTATCTCCTGTTGTTGACGATGTGCCAAAATTCTGAAAATGTAATGAATGTTTGTGGATATTTCCAAAAACATTTTGTCACTCAAATTTTTCAAGATTTAAATAAAAAAACATTTGAGTATTACAATGAGTGATGACTATTTACGCTTTATTGAGTGCACCTTGCTAGTATTCGGTTGGAGCACCTGTTGTGTTCAGAACAGCTTTAGTTATTTGTGGCATATATTCAACAAGGTGCTGGAAATATTCACACATTCACATTGTGCTCATAAAGCAGTGGTAAGATGTGGCATTTAAACACTGTTCAGGTCCCAGAATACGGCAAGAAAATGTCCCACACCCCATTTAAACACCATCTGTGGCCTGAACCATTGATATAAGTCGGTATAGATCATGATGGTTTTCATGATGTTTACGTCCTAGCATAAATGTCTGAGCAGAATTCAAGATATCGGGCAACATTCTTCCAATATCCTGTTGAATTGTAGCCACAGTTTCCTGCTCTTAGCTCAAAGGAGTGGCACCTGGTGTGGCTGCTTTAGGCCATCTGCTTCAAGATTTGACATGCCAGAATAAATACTCTTGTGCATACAGAGCTGCATGCTAGGTATGTATAGTAACTCATGCCCCGAGTTACACAGTTACTTAGCTTGAAGTGGTATGGCCATTCTCTTCTGACCTCCGACATCAGCATGGCATTGTCACCCAGAGAAATGCTGCCAAGTGGATATTTTCCATTTTCTTCTGACTCTACTCTGTTAACCCTGTGGTGGTGTGGGAAAAATCCCAAAACATCATGGTACCAACAACATGCCTCAACGTCCCCAAAATTACCTTTCTGTCTTTAAGGGCCACTTTTTTTAAAGTGGTCAGTGAGTGAATGCCCTCTCTTAAACAAAGGTTCTTGGAAAAAATGCCTACATATTATATATATACATATAGTTAGCAATTCCCCGAATGGAGTCACCATAATAAGTCTGTAAAAAGTACGTTTTTTTCTGTATCAAAACCATTTTTAAGTAAAACAGGGGCAATAGCTGCAATAGTAAGAGGACATTTATTGACGGTCTTTGTTAGTTGTTCATTCATTGTCCATTGTTCATTCTAGACACCCTTAAATGCCGAAAATTGTTTTATAGCCACCAGCATAAACAACAACAAAAAAAATGTGAGCGTTAAACATTGTTTTTTTTTTTATCTTCCTGAGAATTTTATATGGAATGCAAATGAATAGAAAACAATAAATAAAACTAGCAAAAAACAAAACATGGAACATAATGATGAAGATACGCAGAACAGAGATTAAGATGGTAGAGTGAAATGTTTAGTCACGTAATAGCTTATGGTTAATTGTTTTTTTTTAAACATCTGTGATGAAAAAGCACTGTGGAGCTGCTGGATAATTAGAAATAAGTATTAACTGGGCTTGGTAACACTTCACACACTTTGATGATAACATTAATATACAGAAAACCCTTAAACAACAAATAATCTGAGTTGAAATGACAGGCAAATCAGCATTCAGTTGTGACCAAATCCCTCATTTTGCTGCAGATGTTAAGGAAATGTCACCTAACACAAAGTGCAGTGTATTCATACAGTTTTGCAAAAAAAACTGCTATTTGGCAAGCTCAATCTTTTAAACTTTGGAATACAAATTAGGCTTCATAAAGGCTTTTAACTCACTCTACAGTATCAACATATAGCCTGTCCCAAATAATAAATCTTTGCTAAAATACACAGCTTGTTTGGTCAAACTCAATCATTCATGCACACTTTTGGAATTCTCTGAATTCATACTTGAGTGCTCGCAGTTTAACCCTCATTTACACCTAATAGTATTTAACAAATTACACAAAATTACACAAAATGTTATAAACCAATACTAAAACAAATGAACTGACTATGTCACAACTCTGCCAGCTGTGCACAGAACTTTCTGCCACACAAATCCCAGAACCCTTAGTAAGGTCTGACAACAGTCCTGGAAGACTAATATACCTAAAAGGCTTATGGCACTTTTTAAAATTCACAACAACATCCAGCTTTCAGGACATCAAACCTCTCATAAAGTAGTAATCTGTCTTGGGAAATGCCTTTAATTCCTCTCCTATAGTAAACAACCTGGCGATAACATTTAGCACATTTCCAATCACAGTTAGCTGTCCAGATCTTGCACTAATCTCTCCCTGGAGATGACAGCGACAGTACGGTTTTTAAACGAACCCAAAAAGAAGCCCAAATTATAAAAAGGAAAACTTGAGTCAAGCAGATTGAGTTGAATATTATTTCCCATTGCCCTTGGTCAATTTATAAATAGAGCATTTTGTCCATCCAGTTTCTCAACTCTACAGTTTTCAGTGCTGAGCCTGTCAGTTTGGGAGTTGCACCTCAATTCTCTGGGTGACGCTGAAAGATTGAAACTCCTCCCCTTTGTCCTCAGGGTACAGTTTTCTTTAGCCAGTCCTAGCTAAGCAGCCGTTACGTGGCTGCGTCTAATGTTCATCGAGCATCCCTTAGGGATGAACCAGCCAGCTATTTGCATCCTCCAGATCCGTTTCCAGTTCCTCGTCTTCATCCAGAGGCTCTGGGGTTCGAAGGGCCAGTTGCCGCAGGAAATCATTTGAATAGGCGGGGGGTTTGGAAACAGACTTCAGGCCGATTTTTTTCTTCGTGAGGTGGAACTGGTCACGGACGAAGTTGTAAAACTCGTACTCATAGCGCATGCGGTGATACAGCACCTGCAGGGCCTCTAAAGTGGGGGTTTGTTTACGCACAGTGCCTGTCATGTTTCCCATTTTCCTATAATCTGCAACAAAATGATGGAGAGACAAAAAAACAAAGTTCAGCAAAGACTAAAATCAAAATGTTTTAAAAAAAGTTTCAAGCACATTTATTTAGACAGGAAATTACTTAATAACTATATCATATATCATCATCTTAAGCCACTTATTTTTCCAGTTAAGTAGCAAGTGATTGCTGTTTAATGTGAATGATTCATATATCACCTCATCTATTTAGATATCTTGCTACTAAGTCATCATGACAAGCGGTTCGCTAAGCTGGACAAAAATAACATGCAGCTCTTGGTATTTCTTCCTAGCTATATCTGTCACTATGGCCTTCTTGCTCTGCTTGTCCACCACTACTATGCCCTGTTGGTTAGCCATCACCAGTTTGTTTGTCTGTATCTGGAAGTCACAGGATCTTGACTACTATCCATATGAGTGCTAAGAGTGCTACCTAACTCTTATTGCAGCTCTTATAAAGGTGATATTTTTGATAAATCACATACAAAAGGTGTTGCTACCTTTTGTATGAAGTCACTAAATATTTCTCGTAATAAAGATCACCCCAAATCATGTAATAGCACATTTTTATGACATTCAAAATAAACAGATAAACTGTATCTTGTGATCAGAACCTCATTAAAAAAAAGGTATGCATAAATCAAATCATGAGAACTAACTCTGTCCTGTGTGGAAGTTAGAGCATTTTAACGGTCACTACCAGGCTATGCAAATTTGTGACAAAATACCCGCAAAACTATTCACATTCTAATTACGTTGATCACGTTACCATGCTAAAGACTTTTTTATTGTCTTGTATAGGAAAACATTCACTCGATACTCTGACAGCATAAAACATTCTATATCACAAGGTGCAGCTACCAGGGCTCTTGTAGATGTTGAGTACTCCAGTAAAGTAATGAGGTAAGAGCCTCTCTAGCAGGAGCAGAACGTCCTCCAGCTCTTCCAATATCCCCACAAGGAGGTAGTTCTCCAGCACATTCTGTTTGGCCCTCTCCAAAGCCCATACTCCTGGCTCTCTGTGTGAGACAGAAGGAAAATAAGACCAAGAGAAAGTTTGCACTAGAGTAGCATTACTTGGAAAGAAATATTACCAAGCTTTTGTAATGCAACTTGACAAAATCTCATAAATACCTGCACTGAGGATGCTGTCCACAGAAGTAGGGGATGATGTAGAAAACCCTTGGGTTGGAGCACTCAGGGTAATTCTCTAGGATGCAAACATTGATGTCCTGAAAGCAGACAAGCACATATGAGTCTTTATATTTTTGCTTTACTAATAATTTATGCTTTTTAATTTGATCTCAATCAGAATTGCAATTATTTCTTTTTCCCACTAGAGGAAGCTATTCACTTGCACTGCCGTGAACCTGGACTGCTTGCCTGTCATTACCCCACAAGCCAAAGTGCTTTGTCAAACCACATCTTGTGCACAAAGATAAGCTCTTCCCTCTCATCTCAGTTGATCTCATAGGCTATGATACCACATAGGAAGAGAAAGTATTTTCAAATGAATTCGTGTTTAACTTAAAGATGTCACGATTAAGATAATGAGACCAGAGTTGTGAAACTTGAAAAACCACTTATCTGAAAAGCTATTGAGTAATGAATGGAAAAAAGACAGTTGCAGGAGTGAAGCTGGCCAGCGACTGAGTGCCACGGAAACAGCAGTCAAATCCATGTCAGGTGACGTAAGCCTCAGGGATAGCAACAAGTCCTGAGCAACAAAACACTCCACGAAGCATGGCTCACATCCACACACAGCAGCAGGCACATGTGTGCACAAGGCTTGCGCTCAAATATGTCACCTACAGTAGGACCAGACTACATGCATGAGGCAAATTTAGAACATTTTGTCATAGGTTGTTGTTTAGATTTATACCATAATGGCTCTGTAATGACTAACTTAAACAGCAATTTGGCAAAAATAGTCTAAGCCTAACATGGATCATCACAAAAATGGACAAGTCCGACAGGACAAAAGTCAGAGAGCCTCACGAAGGATCCAAGCTGCTGCTCCTGCTGCTGCAGGTGTGGCATAAGAAATCATCTGAGTGCAATAGGAAGCTTGAAACAGAGATGCTGACTGGAGTGTAAACATAGAAAAAGGCATAAGCCATGTGTGGAAGAGCATGTTTATATGCTTAAGTGTTTATGTGTCTTGGAGACATTTGCACACTCATTGCTAATGTTTCTATTAGCCTCGACTTATTTATTTCCAGTTGTATTTTCTGGCATGAAAGCCTTACGAGAACCCCTCATTGAAAAATGTTGCCATCAGGTCTGCTCAGGGTTTTTCATACAGTCTCAAACA